GCTGGTCAAATATATGATGGGCAAACGTTTGCAAAGTTGTACGGGATAAACGGCAAATAACTACTCGTCTTATTACCGAAATAAGCAACGAGCATCAAACAGTGGTGACAAAGTCATCCAGTTTCTTAAGAGCGGGATGGCCGGGCCGGGCAGGGCCGCTCAAATGAGAAGCGTTCTCATAACTCAAGTGCGACTCGGTTGGCCTGCGGCACCTCTCGCAATGACGCAACACGCCGCCAGGGATTTATGAGGTCGGCCATCCTTCTGCTGTCGGGCGGACTGACTCCCCTGACCAACAGGGGAGTCAGTCCGCCCGAGTTTCTGATTTCATGGTGGAATGCTTTGAAAAGCTGTGGGCTGAGCTGAGCTGTTATGAAGTCGCGTGACTGGGCGGCTGGCGCGGCTAGCGCACATGTGCGCCGACCACTGAGGGCGGAGAGGGGTGGGGGGGGGGCCTGCGATCTGTCACTCATCGCGGTCCAGGGCGGCCGGCCGGCACGGCCGGGGCGTCAACAAACAGGTGGCGACGGGGGCGACGCACCGGGCACCCTCCTGACGAGGGACTGACGGACGCTGGAGCCACGGCCGTCCTGACGAGGGTCTGACGGACGCTGGGCCACGGCCGTCCGCCTGACGAGGGTCTGACGGACGCTGGAGCCACGGCCGTCCTCCTGACGAGGGACTGGCGGACGCTGGGGCCGCGGCCGTCCTCCTGACAAGGATCTGACCGACGCTGGGCCACGGCCGTTCTCCTGACGAGGGACTGACGGACGTTGGGGCCACGGCCGTCCTCCCTGACAAGGGACTGACGGACGCTGGGGCCACGGCCGTCCTCCTGACGGGGGACTGACGGACGCTGGGGCCACGGCCGTCCTCCTGACGAGGGTCTGACGGACGCTGGGGCTACGGCCGTCCTCCTGACGACGGACGCTGGGGCCGCGGCCGTGCTCCTGACGAGGGACTGACGGACACTGGGGCCACGGCCGTGCTCCTGACGAGGGACTGAGGGACGCTGGGGCCACGGCCGTCCTCCTGACGAGGGTCTGACGGACACTGCGGGCACAGCCGTCCTCCTGACAAGGAACTGACGGACGCTGGGCCACGGCCGTCCTCCAGACGAGGGTCTGACGGACGCTGGGCCACGGTCGTCCTGACGAGGGACTAACGGACGATGGAGTCACGGCCGTTCTCCTGACGAGGGACTGACGGACACTGCGGCCACAGCCGTTCTCCTGACAAGGAACTGACAGACGCTGGGCCACGGCCGTCCCTCTGACGAGGGACTGACGGACGCTGGGGCCACGGCCGTTCGCCTGACGGGCGGCTGGCGCACACTGGGGCCACGACCGTCTTCCTGACGGGTGACTGACGAACGATAGAGTCAGGGCCGTCATCCTGTCAGTCCTGCCAGAGCCAGGGCCTGGCAGGACTGACAGGCCGCGGAGTAATCCTGCGCTCGAAAGGCGATAATCCAGGGCCGACCCCCAAATTCCGCTATGAATCAGAGCCACAGGTGCGATACCGAAGGAATAGAGGTAAGGATGGGGCGCAGGCGTGAGCATCAGGCGAGCGTTACACGAAACAGCTGTGCACTCGATGTGAATCGAGAATCAATCGCATTATGTTTCAGCAGTGGCAGCATTCATGGTATGTCCTTATCGCCCTGTGATCTATATAACGAACCCTATGCGACAAGCAGCCCACCAACCTTAATGGTCAATACATTCGGTCTTAGTCGCGGGGCTGTGCACATATACTACAATTCAATAGGATTACCTTGATATAGTGTGTAAACCAGTTCCAGATCATGGTCTCGACGAGCTCTAATCCGCTGACAGCTGAGTGGTGAACCTTACATAAGCAGATTATGTGCATGAGGTAAAGGTAATGTTGTAGACTTTACCGCATTTACTGAATTCCGTGCCGACCAGGCATGAGCGCAACCCCGAGGCTCTGACAGAGGGTGACGTCACCGATACAGCGGGCAAGTCCGCGGTCCATTCAGACTCGCTGTACAACGTCAGGAGTTTATGTGGCCGCTCCGTCCACACACTGGGGAATGCACGGCGACAGGCAGGTCCGGCTGCACACGGGAAGCCGGAGCCGCACACGCAAGGGAGCCGTGTCGAGCCACGTCGAGCGAGGCTACGTGGCCCGGCGCGACACAGGCAAGGCCAGGGAAGCCCCGCGCGGCACGGAACAGGGCCCAGGACGGCCGTGCGCCGGCGTCGGCCGTCCGCCAGGTGCCGCTTCTGCATGCGGCCCGCTGAATGGACCGAGAATCCGCCGCGACCGCCCACCGGCCCGGAATAAATCCAGCGATGATCCTTCAGTGCCGGTCGTAAACTGGTGTCACCGGACGGCCGGGCCCGGTGCCGGACACACGGCGACAGACGGCCGGCTTTACGACTCACGAACGCGATGTTAATCGCTCGCCCATTAGGGTCATAATTATTTATCTGGCGGCGGCGCGGGCGTCCCTGGGCGCGACAGAGCGCACGTAGTCGGCGCGCGGCCGGCCCTGGCGGTGACACGACGGCGGCGGCTCGGCCGGCCGTGCACCGAGCACGGACGCCGCTGCAGCCGGGCGCGCGGCCATAAATTGTCGGATTACCGGCGCCGTCACCTCGGCCGGCACCGGTCGCGGCGCGGCCGCTAATGGCCGTCCGGACCGGACTGCGACGGAGCGGCCGCAGCCGATCCCCTCCGTCAGATGTTGGTCTGGCTGTGTTGAAGGCGTTGGCCTTCACCAATCGCTTGAGTCCCTCGTGAGCAAAGGCGGCGCGCCAAACGCAGAATAGGAAAATTATTTTGCAAAACCTTCGGCCAGGTGTATGGGCAAGGCAATGCAATGAATTGCAATAAAAGTTGCGAACGCATTTATGTAGAAATCGCGTAAACCTTGCGCATATGTGCGGCAGTCATTGTTCCAGATCAGGGCCTGTGGCGGTGCAAAGGCCCGTTCTTTACTCAGTCTTATCGAGTCTGTCCGCGTGTAATTCACTCGGCTTCGTACGCGGGGAAATGCTATGCGAGTTCGGAATTCAATTTTCGTTGGACGCAGGCCTCAACTGGCCACGTGCTGACGGAGTAAAATCCGCACAAGGTGGCTGGCATTTCTGCGGGATAAACGCTAGGAAAAGGCAGTGGTGCAGACTGCTGTGCACTTCTTGCCGAGTCTTTGGTCTGGATACACTCAGGTACTGGCCCCGTGACAGCTCCTGAAAGATGTTCTTGAGAATAAATGTTTATTGGTTGTCTAGAATCTCGCAAAGTTTTGTTGTGATGCATCCTTGTCCCAAATGCATTCACCGTGCTTCTAACATCGAGGGCGCACGGCACGGAGTCTGAGCGAATGTGGGAAACGGCAAGGCTCCTCCATATGCCTTGCGCCTCGGCGCTGGCTCTTTTCAATCAGTTCTTCCTCTAACGAATTGAAGAAAACAGCTGTGTTCGGCACAGCCGCACAACAGAAGCGGAGCGCGGGTATGTGGGCAGAAGCGGGAGCTATGGACAGGGAACCGTGGCCGGTGGACCGACACACTCCATCCCTTCAGCGAGCCTCTGATGAGCCCAGCACCTGGACCGACTTTACGGCGTCTGCTGGCAACATCATGGGCGCCATCCTATATACCTGCTGCGTGCCCTATAATCCCGCCGCGTCGCTGCCCAGCCACTAGCGCCCGTTCGCAGGTCGGACCGGGGCGGCTTCAGACCCAGGCGGCCGCCGCACGCGGCTCAGACTAGCCCTGCAGTCTGTCAGAAAACAAACCAGGCCTCTGGCGCGTCCGGTCGGCCATATTTTTGCCATGCCCGCTTCGGTGCTGCGGTTGCTGTTGGTGCCATCGAAGCGACACACTGATCATTCGCGGACGCCGGGGTTGACCGGTAAAATGATGGCGCACGTGGGACATGCCGTTCTTCCCATTCCAGGTTGGTGATATCAAACGTGTGCTAAGCCTGATGCAATACACAGTCAAAGCTATGTCATCATTCAGACGAATCAGTGACATAATACGACTAGGTTTAGTCAGGGCATAGCCTGGGGAAAGGGTACGGGGTAATGATCCGTCTACGAGATAAACGCTTCACACAGGATATTGAGCGATTCCGCACAAAAATGTTAGAATGGCAGCATTTGACATGTGTATCCTCGCTGACAAAACTATGACTACTTGTCTAGTTTTAATCATAGCATTTCCAGTGTAGTGATGTACGTATGCATATACACCTACTTAGATTATGATTATATACTTCATCATACTTTTATAGCGCATTATTCATTTGAGTGAATGTCGGGGACCAATGAGTGTATATAACTGTACGACGTCAAACATGCAGTCCATCCTGTTAAGTTGGCGCCAGGAACGACCGCATCACTCCTCCAACTGAGCACAGTGCTGACAGTCGGCACACCGCCACTTCTGAGTGACTGACAGTCAGTACACTGCCGCTTCGAGGTGTCTGACAGTCAGTTAACAGCCGATTTGGAGCGTATGACAGTCAGTACACAGCCGCTCCGGAGTGCCTGACAATCAGTACACAGCTGCTCCGGAGCGTCTGACAGTTAGTTCATCGCCACTCCGGAGTGCCTGACAGTCAGAACACAGCTGCTCCGTAGCGCCTGAAAGCCAGTACACCGCCGCTCCTGAGTGCCTGACCCCACTGGCCGGTCGGTGGCGGTTGGGCGGCCGTACATGGGTTACACTGGCGGGCCCGGGGACTACAAATCTCCGGGGCCCGGGGACTACAAATCCGGGGACTACAAATGTCCACTGCACCGTCCGGACAGCAGTCTCTCAACAATCGACCATCTCCGCTTCCGACAGGTCACACAGCAAAAAAAAATAAAAAATAAAAAATCCGCTGTTTGCATGGCAGTTTCACCCTGCACGGAGGGCGCCCCGTCTTGACTCGACACAGCCGTCTCCCGACGGAGGCGTCCCCTCTCCCGAGCAGTCACCCCCCGCCGAGCCTGACAGCTTGGTGACGCCTCTCACCTGCGAGTGGCAGTCAGTCGGCGTCCCGCTGTGGCAGCCGCCTGCCGCCGGGGCTGCTCGCGACGGAAGCACCTGTTCGGCTGCAGCTCTCGCCCCGCGCCGCACCCTCCCCGCAGCTCCCGCCACCGACCACTGCCGGCCGGCGCCCGCCGGGAGGCGGGCGCGCGACGAGCCGCCGCTGCCCGCCGCAGGGCGGCGCTGGCGGCGCCGGGCCGGGTCATGCCGGTCGCCCCCACCGGACAAGGTGCCCGTTCGCTGCCTGTGGTGAGTGGAGCTTAGGTCAGCGCCCCTCACAGTTTGATCAGGGGACGAGGGATTCACTGCCACAAAGTGAGTTTAGAAGCGGGCGCGAGGTAGCTAGGGAAGGGCACTGTAAAGCACTTTATCGGCCTCATTTAGGAGAAATACGCACGACGTAAGTACATTACCTACTCTCAACAACAAGCACTGGCCACACCATGAAACTCCAGCCTGCAGCAAGCCAAATTTGATTACACGCCGTAAATGAACCGTAATGGCATTTGATTGACGCAATGAATTCGGTCGCGCTAATCTCATTATTTAATCCCATTTGTCTGAGTTCTGTTCGATTGCTCCACTTGGCCGGGCGTCCGTCAAACTCGTGGCGTGGCGCCCGGCCGCTGATGGTGATGGCGACCGGGCGGCGAGCAGTCCGGCCGACAGCCGGCGGCTGCCGCCCCTCTCCGCCGTCCTCACGGCGAACGCTGCGACAATATCGGCCCCGCCAAAACCAACGGCGCGCCCGAGCGGCCGATGATGAACGGCTGTTTTCGCGGCAGGCGCGGTGTTTCAATTAATCAGCATCATTAGCGCAGCTGTTGCCGGAGGTGACGGCAGGCGGCGGTGACGGCGCGGCCGGCCGGGCCCGTAATGAGTCACCGACTCTCACAACAATCCCGGAGAGGCGGGCCCGGCGGCCGGCCGGCGCGCTGAAGCCCCTGTCATAACTGGGGGCGCTCGAGAGGGTCGGCCGGCCAGGCTGTCGACACGTGCCGGCCGCGGGCGGCGCGCGCCGGCCAGCCCCCCCCCCCCCCCACACACACACACTCCCGGCCGCCTACCAGCCAGACGTACCGACAGCTGTGCCGACAGTCATGCACGATGACAGGTGTGTACACGGAAAGGCAGGCACCCAGGTACGCGCGCGACGCGCGTAACGGGCCAACACGAGTGCTTCGGCGGAAACACACGCGGTCCGCGGAAACCTGCACATGTGCTGGAGATGGATCACGGAAAACCCGCGGGCACAAACCGCAGAGATTGGTGCGGTCTGTAAACGGACAGGGCAGCAGATTGATCGAGCAAGTGCGGGAAAAAATATCAGCAAGCGACGGGAGCCCGTTATTGAGAACGCTACTTCTGTGAATGGCATAGCAGCGTGCACGTTAAAAATTGGAATATCGACGAGAAAACAACATTAAGCTGCAGTGCAAAACATGGGGTGCTGGCTGATATTTGAAAGCGTGAGTCACAAGAGCCATTGCATCACGTATCGACCCGCACAAGGCGAAAAGGACCCTTGCATGGGTCCCCTGGGTCCAGCACCACTTTGGACCGCCCCAAACGCCCCAAAATTTTAGGTTTCCCAGGGACCGGGAGGAGTTCTGGATCCCGAACCCGACAGGATCTCTAGCCATGTAGCAGGGCTGTCTGCACTATTCAACCTTTATGGTCTTGCAAACCAGGAAATTCCGTTCCAGCTGGTTTTATAGTTCTGTGCATCTAATGAAGTATGAGCTTCTCCACATCGCACCGGACGTAATGGAGAAGTCTGGATGGAGGCATCTCTATGCTAGACGTACATCTCAGCCCATTGGCGTAATCTATGAGCTCCATGGCACAGGCGGGTATTGGTGAGTTTTGGTCAATATCCCAGTCTCCTTCCGCGACAAATCGTTCGTTCTCCGCCACTGATACGTTGTGTACACTCTGGCTACGTTCAGTAGCCATTTACACTGTTTTTATCGCCTTTTAACGGCAAAGGCATCATCATCGGTAAGCGCAAAAACACTCAGAGCAACGTCTCTGTGTTCCGAATAGAAGCCTCAAATCGGACGATGTGTTTGCGAGCGCCTCGCGAGAACGCCCAGCCTCATAGAGCAGCAAGCCTCTTACGAGTGGCGGAGTGCAGCCTCTCCCCCCCCCCCCCCCGCATCCCTCGGGACCTCTGGCGTGCTGAGCTGCCGACAAAATCCCGGCGATCTAATGAGAGTGCGAGTCAGCGCCGATAAACTGGATCCTCTGCTGATCAAACACTCGCGCCCAGCAATATCCAGCGCTATTTGGTCAGTCTGTAATTGGACCCCGGTTGCGCGTGTGATTGGACGTGAGTTTGGCGATTCGAGACCAAAATCGCGTCCCCCATTTTGAGCTGCTCTGGTGACAGTAAAAACTGGCGGCATCAATGGCCATTCCTCGACGTGAACGCTCCATCGCGCGCGACCGGCCACTGACGAAGTACGACCCGTTTCACATGTGCTGCAGACGACTGGGCAACACACAATGGGCAGTAGCGCGTGATGAAGAAACGCCGCTCTCGGCAAATGCGAGGCACAGTAACTTAGAACAGCCTGACACCTTGAAATGACCATGATAAAATTTGAGGGCCATGTGGCGTATGTTTGGGCACCTCGTCGCTAAATGAAGTACTGCTTCGCAGATCAGCCGTCGCAATCTCCCGGGATACTGCATCGTTCCAGTCGGTGCATAATTCCAGATAAAACCTACCGTGAGCGAAGAACCGATGTCGATAACGCTGTAGCGAGTGAAGGGAATCGTGTAGAAAGAACCATCGAGAGTCATTTGGAAAGTGACCCGATAAAGGATCCTATTTGTAATGAAGGATCTACCCTTATTACAGAATAGCCATCTGCCCTAATAACAAAATACAAATAGTTTCAATCACTTTTTTAGCGGGTCCCTCATTTCGAAATTATCCACCACATATAGAACTGATGAAGATGATGAATCTGGAACCCGGACGGGGTAGCTCTGACCGCGCGAGTCGATACCCCTAGTTGTCAGGCTGAGATGCATGCATGCAGTTATGCCAGCAAGACAACATTACGGGCCCAGTCGGGGCCAGTGGCAGCCGCCAAAGCATGACTCTCTCCGAGTGTTATGTGCTATCCATACATGTGGCTAAGTAATTAGTTATGCGATACCATCGTGAGTTGTGTGACGTGTCTGAATGTTAACATCAGAGACAACGAGCTCCATGGTAAGCAGCGTTTATTTGTACTCAACTCAGCATCAGTAATGCACCATAGGTCGGTAACCGGCTCAAACTGAGTGTTAATTTAATCTTAATGCAACCCTACTCCTAAATCCGATTGCATTTCGAGGAGTATGTCTAGAAAAAACGGCCTAATTTCTCAAGACTGGCTTATTCACCACAGCCAGCTTCAAACCCACGAAACAGCACCTAGAAAACAGGCCGACACAATCGGCCGGATGATACGGCGTTACTGTCAGTAACGTCAACGTACTTCATCAGGATGTTACTGCCAGGCCGCAGTGGCCGGCTCAATGCCGACATCAACGAAACGAAGCAATTTAGGTCCGTCAATCACTCCCGCTGACTTACACTGGTGGTACAGATGCTGTCCCTGCGTGCTAAAACAGAGTCCTCAAAAGGTTAAGTAAAGCAGTTTGTTACCTTCGCACAGTGCAGACTTACGACACCATGTGGTTTAAGATAAAAGCGCGTCACGTGTTCACAAGTTATACTGTCTGGCTCTCCCGCACCGCAAAGCTCCGGAGGCTACGGCTAAAAAAACTTCAAGACGCAGCCCGTAAAGCCGTGCCAAATAACGCGTACCTCAAACACCCCGAAAACATGTTTGTGACCATGATAGCCAGCCAAGGGCGGCGCAGCAGAGGGCGGAGGAGGCAGGTACCCCCCCCCCCCCCACCCCCACCCACCCAGCAGGCGGGAGAGGCAACTCATGTTTTCGCTCCTCTGAATTTGTGCGGGGCCCGTTTTTTCCAAGCTTAAGGCATGGTAGCTAACCATAGATTACAAACATTCAAATAAAGAAAGCTGAGCTAAAGGTAATATAACATGACTGAGCTGGAAAGTCGGGCTCAGAAGACCCATTTCTACATGAAAAAATCGTTATCTGGATGATGAGGCCTCCTTGATGAAAACAGGTAGTTGATGCTCTAGGTTAGCAGGTCTAAAGTTATGTTAAGGAGGCCCCTTGTTGGCTGGCGAGGCTCCTGTTCTGGGTCAGAAGGCACTCTCTGTATCTAGGAGGCCCCAATCATAAAAACAGAAAGCCTCTTTCATGCATCAGATGGCCTCGTCTCCGGGTCAGGATGCCTTTTGGGATAACGAGGCCCGTTAGCTAGATTTGGAGGTCTCTTCGCGAATCGGAGGCATACTGCTCTGGATTAGGTCTCTTTATGCATCAGAAAATCGTTTCTTGAAACAGGAACTGAAACTAATTTCCTTTTTAGTGTAGAAAACTCTTCGCTGGTTATCAGAAGCCCCCATTTTGAAATTTTGATTTTCAATGCCTATTTGCTTGGATTTGATGCACGTGGCAATTTCATAAGATGGCGAACGCCCTTGATGCAATTCACCCTTAAATGCAACGCTGCCCTGGAGGGCCCCCGTCAGGAGGTCCCTTTTTGTTCAGGAAGCCCCCCGAAAAATCTTGCCCCAGCTCGAAATCCGTGGCGCCCTCCCTGTAACCAGCAACAAGAAGGTGGTGCGAAAGGAGGCAGGGGAGAGGATTCTTGCTGCTAGGAACTGAGGCTGGTGCAACATTTTTGTCTTTCGTATTTCGGAGCTGATCTGGGCGCGTGATTCTACCCTGGCATGATCACGTGAACAAGACAACTCACTGAGCCACCAACTACGGGGCAATGGTCAGTCTGGGCTATAAACAACACGCAAGATAAACTTCTGGACCGAAATTCCATGCCATTTCCAAGCCGTCGAAAGACACGCGGAATTCGTCGCGGAGGTCTTACGATCCGTTGAGCCAGAAATTCCTGCGCGCCTTAATTGTTTTACGCTTGGCAACAAGAACATCCAATAAGTCCTGTTTAAAAATATTTCCCACAGACTGGTATATGCACGCCGTAACA